AGCTATATCAGGCTATAGTGAGATATAGCGGATAAATTATACATGAACACAAATAGCGGCACCCTACCTCAAAAGGCTATAGCGGGAGATTTAAAACTGGATGCTAACACGTTCAGCCACCAGCCCACCATGTCAGGACCTGCTTTGTTAATCATCGACAAGGGTTCACAATAGAGGCTTTGCTAATCGTCACCAAATCATGCACGACAAAGGTAGTACAATACTACAAGATTCACAGTGGAAGATTGTATACTCAAGACAATTATGAATTGTATGCTTCGTTCAACGGAACTGCTAGCATAGGGTCCGGACACTCGCACTAGTTGTGTCTGCCCGAGTGTCCGCCCACACGCCTGCGCTTGCTTCACGTGAGGACTCATGCCGCTCTATTTCCTGCGCATGCACAGGCCCACGCAGGGTCATGTCTCGATCTGCACCTGCTCTTGTTTCCCACGCCTGTCGCTCGGGCCCTCCGCTCCCACACGCATGCACGTGGGCTTAGTAACTGCAAGCATGCGCCTGTGGCAAGTGGATCCAACTACAACATTCAAACATCAGATCTACTTTTGCAACATCCAGATGAAACATTTGCAACATATGTCTAAAACCGATAAAACATTTGGGACATATAGTTGAAACACTATTACAACATATGCAACATCCCGATCTACTTTTAAAACATCCAGATGCAATATTTACAACATACAAAAGAAGACAGATGAAATACTTGAGACATGCATCTAAACACACTTGCAACATACGTATACAAAAAATAGGTGAAACATTGGGGATAGACATTGCAACATACATGTACAACCGTTGCAACATCCCGATCTACTTTTGCAACATCCGTATAAAACAACATACATCTGAAACAACTGAAACACTTGAAACATAGGCTTGCAACATGTCTAAAAAACGTCCAGAAACACTTGAAACATGGTATCGCCGCGTGGCCATGACCTACCTGGTGGTGAATTGTGTTAGATCAGCGAGGAGGACAGGGAGTGGATGGAGGCCACTCTGGTGGAGCATATTTGGAGTGGCAACGATGAGGCCAAAGTACCGAGCAGGGCGAGGAGGACCGGCGCCAGAGGGACCCACGAGGAGGCCTTGATCTCTCGGGAGACACCCCCGACATTGCAGGCTGCTCTAGCACCCTCGCCACCGCCGACAGCACGTACCCCATCGGAGCTGGCCGGTCGGGCTGCGACGCGGTGGAGGGATGGACACGGTTGTGTGTGGGGGGTGAGGGAGGAGACGAGGCGCTCAGCGTAGCGCAGGATAGAGCACGGCCCAGGAATGGGGAGCCAAGCGGGTAACAACAGCGAGACGGAGTGCGAGCACGGCAGCGATTCGAGAATGGGTGCGGTCACGGCGATGATTCAAAAGCAACGCTAGCGACCATGTTGTGTTGGGCCGTTCGAGCGGGCGAGGTCCACCAGCGTCCGGACTATCGGACGTCTTACCCGCATCGTTACCGCAAAAAATTTCAAAACAGATCTTGCGTGCGCAATTTTTTTTAGGCTACGGCCTTGTTTAGATTGAGGTTAGAAATCAGTATTTGGCACTGTAGCACTTTCGTTTGTATTTGACAATTATTGTTCAATCATGACCTAACTAGGCTCAAAAGATTCGTCTTGTAATTTACAATCAAACTGTGTAATTAGTTATTTTTTTATCTACATCTAATACTCCATACATGTGTCCAAAGATTTGATGTGATGGAGAGAGAGAGAGCGAAAAAACTTGTAATCTAAACGAGGCCTACATTGTCTCTTGTATGGTAATACTGCTGTGTTGTGCTGTTGTGATCAATCCATCCGACCGTCCAGGTTCAATCTGCCAGAAGCGCAAATGGGACAGCCAAAGTCCAGTCCCCACGAGTCACGATACGGTTGACAAATGACACGAGGGCGGCTGCGTGTACGGTCACGTGGACAAAATTGTCTCTTATGTTAACATGCTTGCTTACACACACATAGCACGAGAAAATCACCTTGCTTTCGCAAAAAAGAAAGAAAAAAAAGGAGATGCACCTTGCACATTGTGTACCTACATTTTGACCACTTCACACACACACACACACATATATATATATATATATATATATATAGCGACGAGTTCATTGCTTATGGATACCATGCGCCACCGTCTTCATCGTTCTCCCAAAAGTAACTAGAAATATAAAAGAAATGGTTTTTGAGGGTTCACGCCAACTGCGTAGTATTCAATCCATCCCAAATTATAAAACGTTTGACTTTTTTATATAAGTTTGACCACTCGTGTTATTCAAAAATTTGTGCAAAATACAACTTCTTTTGTCGTGGCTTGGTTTATTAATAAAAGTTCTTCAAAAATGACTTAAATTTGACTATATTTACATATTTTTTTGAATAAGACGAATGATCAAATTTGGTGTCAAAAAAGTCAAACGTCTTACAATTTAGGATGGAGGGAGTACTAAAATGCAGCCACAATTCCAAACCATAAGGCTACCTAATACGAAAAGTCAAATTTTACAAACTTTGACCAACAAATTGTGAAATTATCTACAAGTTTAGAACATAAAAATTGCATTAGATTTACTCCATCCGTCTCAAAAAAAACATGTAATTCTAGTGTTCAAATCTTATCTCAAAAAACATGTAATTGTAGAGTTAGATATCACCTTTTCAATAGGACCCACCAATTAAAAATATTCATACATAATTAAAAACTACCATCTATGAGAAGAACATTATAGAAGACAACTACTTTAGAATGATAAAAGAGGGGCAAATACGTAATTTTACACCTACACTAATCTTGCCTTGAAAAACGAAATTTACATCTTTTTCGAGACGGAGAGAGTATATTGAAGTGCATCCAATACAATATTGATTCTTTAGCAAATGACTTTTGCCTGATCAAAATACCTATATCGTTCTGAGACTAAGTATAGAACAATATTGATTATGATGACAGTTTCGAATTCAAACTTTGACAACACTGATTATCCATAAAGATAAAGTGAGACTAAGGTATCCCAAGTGTATAATAGTTCCTTCTGTTTGTTTACAGTACAGATGATGGCCAACTTACACTTTCAAGTTTCAACTACACGTCTACACCGTCATGTATACGACGACTCCTGCAAGTTACAATGGCAGGTCAAAAATACATGCCTGATGACCTTCCTGTCCTCTTTGCACACGAGCAGCATTGATTTTCTGAGAACTTACAAAGGCAGTGTGACTGGGATGCAGTTTGAACTTCCAATTCAAAGAATGTTGACTTCATGCTGAAGAATGCATATGAAATTCGGACAAAGCGTTTTGAACACAGGATTGAGTGGTTGGAATATTTTGCTCCCTCATTTGAACTTTTAGGTGATGCTTGCTCCTACCACCTGACGTTCAGCACCTTCTTCACGGTAAAGTCATGGGCTGATGGGCAGCTACCAAATGATACAAAAAATGTAAGAAGGTCAAAGACAGTGATAGTTCATTCGTTTTGCATGTTAGGCATAAGGCAACAGCATGCATATCATTATATGTATATTTGTATACCGGCACATGCCAAATTAAATGGAAAAGAAAAACAGCAGGCAGCTATGACCAGACATCAAGCGCTGATCTGGTCGGAACCATGAATACATTAGTCCGGGATCTCACTGTATAGACACTGGCCTTGCGGATTCAGGGAAGTTGGAGCCAGAATTACTATGCTGTGAACTTATTTCATTATGCTAGGTAAAAGTTTAGTAGCTAGCCTTTTGCAGCTAATTGACTCTTTCATAAACACAATGAAAGAAGAGATTTTGGGAGACTCATTAGTATGTGCTAACTCTGGCCCATAGCTATGAGAAATGTTGACATCAACCAAGAACAAGAACAAAGTTGTTTAGTACTGGATTAATTGCTATCACTACGGTTGTATGAGCTGAAATTAATTAAGCCAATCAAGAGTGATTGCAAAATTTGATTAAAGAACTGTCAGTGGATGTGAGATAATGCTGCGATAATTAATTCTACCCCAGGTACATGTCTGTTCAGACTTCAGATTGAGGAGGCACAAAGCCCCAAAAGTAACATGTCACAAAATATCACTGGGGATTACTCTACCTTCTTTAGAACAGAAAAGAAAAAAGGAAACCAACTGCTATCGGATACCTACCACATTCACGTAAAGAATGAAAAATAGTTGGTATTCAACAATGGCTGGCATTCTAAAAGACAGCAACTAACCAAGTTAAACAACAGACAAATAAATTAATCATCCAAGCCGCCTGGTGGCTGACACCTCTACTAGATTTTTAAGCCATGTACTCATGAACAGTTTGGCTCAAGTGCACAAGACATGCAGACTAGTAACTGCATCTACATACTCTGACCAAGTGACCATAGCTCATATACTCATATGTGTACTTTTGCAGTCTAGGGTTTACAAACTCAATAAAAAAAAGGTCAATCAATATATATGAGGAATTTATTTGTTCCAACGATATGCCAATTAGAAAAAAAAATCTACAAACCCATGGTAGTAGTAACCCAATTATGCGATTCGTTCAAAAGATCCTGTATTTTGGCATGCCAGACTTCCTAAGGTCGGTTGATATGCTGTCCATATAGAACCCAGTAGTTCCCCAAATCATTTCTAAATATAGCAGTATTTTACTCTTACAACTCCATATAATACATTTTCGAATATCAACTAACTGCTACATTCAAGATACAAAGTTTAAGTACTCATTATAATGCCAAATGGAACTTCATACTCGCGAAGAAATTAAACAGGTGTGGAAAGAGCTATACAATCTATCCTCGTTGCCTCTAAGTGCAAACGAAGATTTTTTCTTTTGCCATTTCTGTTACATCTGATATCAAAATGTTTTGGTAGTCTAATGCCTGCAGTTTTGAACCGTGAAGAATATCTTGATTTGCCCAAAGAAAGAAAAGGGTGCACATAACTTTGTATTGAGTAAAAGAAACAGTTAAGAGAAGCATACCAAAGTCCCATCATCGCCGCCGCCACCTTTGCCTTCTCTGAGCTGTTGGCGGTAGCTTCTCTGAAGGCCCACAAGGAAGTATAGTTCCTGTCTCTTGCTCTATGCGTTGCTTCAGCTCTCTTAGAATTCGGATTTGGCCCAATTTTTCTGGAGATAACTTTTCCCAGTAAATCCCTGCATACAAAATTCTCCAGTATTTGGTCATATGAGAATAATTCACAGAGTAATGTGGCATTTGTGGTGTGTTGTAACTAGGTTCTTGTCCCATTTTTCTTCTTAATATAATGAAGCGCAGCTCTCCTGTTTTTTCAAGAAAAAAAGAGTAAATAAATGATAGGAATTGGCCAAACCTTGTGGCTTTGGGATTGTAGTCTTTGTGAAGATGACCTGAGTTGGGGTGCAGATAATGTCAACTGGCACATCATGAACTAGCAGCTTCTCCACTGGAATGTCATCCACTAACTGCTTGTCATGCACTGTAAGCGCAGAAGTAGTTGGCATTTTTGTAAGTGACTAGCCACGAACTAAATATGCAACAAGGAATTCCAAATCCATCAAAGAACAAAAAATGCACTAACAGTTTTCCAATTCAGAAAAAGAAGAGGTGGCAGCAGCTAGGGTGGCAGCAGGTGCTGCCATGCCATCATGAGGCACGCTCTAGGGAGGCAGCTGGCCACCCTTCCACCTCAAGTCAAGGATCATCATCGGATTGATAGTAGGAAATGACGCCGGCTGCCGCCCTAGGGTGCCTCCTGCTGTGCCCACAAGGCACAAGGCAGGAATGGCAGCAGAAGCCGCTGCTGTAGCTGCTGCCATCGCCTGTGGGCCGTCTCAGCCCATGGCCACCTGGGCCACAACACATGCATGCATAGATTAAATTAACTTATTTCAATCTTTGCTAGAATCAGAATAGCGAAGTTAAGCCCTGTTAGATACAGGCTAAGATAGCTGTTACTCGAGCTCAAGAACAGTAAGGTAGGAATAGATTCTGTGTATCAATCTTACAGAACCACTGAACAAATCTGACCCATGCAGAAAACAGGCAACTAGCAAAATCAATAAAGAGAACTCACCAGTAGTTACTATCATGGTTGAATCATCTATAGCTCCCATATAGCGAAGCATTCCATATTCCAGCTCTGCAAATCCCTGAAGTTGAAGTTCACAAACATTTATGGACGAGGAACAGGAAAGACTTTAATTTTGTTAAGCATAGTTTTTTCGTTTTAGCAGTGTTCACTCAACAAAAGACCATCAATTTTATTCGAGAAAAGACCATCAATTTGATTTAGTTTATTTTCTGTTGATGGTAAAAAAGAAGGTGAAACTGTGGAAACTTCTTTGGTGCGGTCTACTAACTATTGCTGTTCAGATGTAGAAAGAAACAGCAATATCAACTTGATTTCAATTTTCAACTGTATACACATCAGGAGAATAGTTACCTCTCCCTTCCCTAACCGTGCTCCTGAACTTGGATCAACTGCCACTGATCCAATCACAATCAAATCCACCTTAAGGCATTCATCTAAACCTATTGGCCTCCCATATTTAGCTGCACCAACAGAAGTGCATGCTTCAGGAATGCACCCAACGGGTATCATTTGAGAGTCCATAACTGAGAAAAAGCCTGTCCTTAGCCGAGGTTGTGGAGTCAACAGCTTTGTATCACCTTGGATGACAAAAAGTAGCACCGAATCAAAATGGAGAAGCAAACAATTCATTTTCAAATACTCAGGCAAGAAGTTTAACATGATTGCAGTGACTGTCCTTGATTGATTGGGTACATGTGAAACATAATTTACACAGAGTGGTAGTTAAAAAGGAGCATCTGATCAAAAGCTGGAAAATGTAAAGAAAACCTGAAGCCCTAATGCAACCAGTATATGCTTTGGTTTGCAGCACGAAATTCATTGAGAGATCAAGTGCTATTAACTTATGAGGTTAATCAAGAAACAGAATGATATAATGACATACTGGTGCCTTAGAATGAGAAATAGTAACTATGCAGCAATGAGCAACCTGACACTGCGCTTCCCTCGATGCTGATGCCATGCAATCAAGATGGTTGGCAAACAGCATAGGGAAAGACTCAACTCTTTGGTAATTTTGTTTCTCTGAGCGCAAGCTTGCTGGTGTGAACAGTACAGGAGGAAGGAGCCTTATGGTGTGCAGCCAGGGCTAGGGACATTTGGAACCTTTTCTAGGACCTACTGTCTTGTGTGAGTGGTGTTGTACACTTGGGTACTCTTTCCTGTTCAATAAATGGCTCGCAACTCTCCTGCGCATTTGAGGAGAAGAAATAAACAGGCTATCTTCAAGAAAGGTTGAGACAGCTACTTGTTTTAGCCAATCTAAGAGCCAGATGCACTACAGTTTTAATTTTTTTTATATGTGCCGACAAAGTTTATGCACATGCTAATATGCTGCTGCCACAAATAATACGTAGACACGATTCGGCCATCATAAGTTGTAGCACTGATAAGTACTCACCTGACAGTGTTAAGAAACGAACTTGCTTCTGAGGTGTGTCGGGTTGACCTTTACACACTGCGAATTCTGAAATATGTCAAGCCTCCCCAACTGGTGACAGTTTGAAACATTGCAAGCGTTAATGATGAGCACAGAAATCAATTTACAAAGCAACAGGAATAGAACCAAAGAGTTGTATGTGTACAAATTAGGTAATGAATGATCAATAAGTGCAGCACATGTGATAGCTTAATCACACAATTATAATCTCTTGCTCCTACAGATGATAACAGAGCAATTTTTTGAACCCCCGATTTGGGTCAGAGAAACCAAAACATTTGGGTGTGTTTGGTCTGAGGAATGAGGTGGTCCATCTTCTTCTTACTCAGTTTTTTTTTCTTGGTTTGGGGAATGGAATGGTTTGATCCATCACCATCTCATTCCTCGCAGGCTACGTATCATTTCTCGCAAGCTAATAATTAGTATATGCACGAGGTGGGCAAATCGCTTGGCATAATTTCACATCACAGGAAAGGTGGGCCGCCATTCAGCTCCGTTTCCTTCCGGGGAAACTTGCTACAAGCCTACATAAAACTACAGCCGAATATTGCGCCGCGGGGCTGGTCGGCGTAGGTAGGACGGCGCAGAACGGGCGGGCGAGAGGGTAAGGGCGAGCGCGCGTACCGCGTCTGCGGCTGCGGGGGCGCCGTCGAAGTTGGGGATGCGGTGGTGGACGGGGCGCGGGTCCCGCGCAACACCCTCAGCCTCGAGCGCGTCCCACACCCGCTTCCGTATCGCCCACTTCCAGGCCCGCGGGTCCGCCTCCGCCGCCGCGGCGGTGGACTCCATCCCGGCCCGCGCCGCGGCGTCCAGGCGGAGCCGCTCGGCCTCGAAGGCGGCCGAGTCGAACGAGGCCGAGGATGAGGAGGAGCTCCTGGCCGCGGACGCCACGGCAGCCGTGGCGCGGCGCGGCACAGCGGCAGCGGCGGCGTGGCGGGGAAGAGGAGCGGCATCGCTTGGCTGGCTTCTGGGCACGCTCGCCCCTCGCGCGCCAGGGAAAGGGAGCCACGGATTCAGGGGAGGGTTCGGATTATCTCGACAGGCTGACACGTGGGTCCGCAGGAGCTGCCCTCGAAAATCCCAGTATCTCTATGTCCCGAAGCAGTCTGTAAGCAACAGTGATCCTCGTGGTTAGAAACGGTTTTCTAGCTGTACCGTTCTTGAAAAAAAAATGAAGGCAAATATAAAAAGCATTCGTGTATAGATCTTGGGAATTTACTACGAAGAAGCTCATATGGGTAAGATTTACGTGTGTTCATATGGGTGAGTGTTTGTATATTGTGAGCGTCTATGTTTTTTTTACGCAAAAGACTGTGGGGGAGGTCCCTTCAATGTTAATTAATTTTCAATATGGAGGAGGGTACAGAGTTTATACATATAGTGATTAACTAAAAGCATCAAGCCATACAGAAAAAGATGACCGTAGATCATCTTTAAACCTAACAGATTGGAGAAGGCATTGGTTCTTGAAATTCGACATCCAAAGACTTGGACTTGGATCACGCCTCTGAAAAGCCTTGTCATTCTGCAGTTTCCAAAGCTCCCAGGCCGCTATAAGTGCTGCTTCAGTGAAGAAAGGAATAGCATGTGTCAATCGTGCTTGTGTTAGTCTATCCGCAGCTGCAAAGTTTCATCCCAGGTGATCCCAATCCTTGCCCAGCACTCTTATGCGAAGGGGCAATCAAAGAAGAGGTGTTCTATTGTCTCTAACTCTCCTGTGCTGCACATGATGCAAACTGGACTGTCTTGTATATTAAGATGTCTTCTCTGCAACATTTCCTTTGTATTCAAACGGTCCACCAGAATTAACCAAGCAAAGAACTTGACACGCAGAGTACACCGTGATTTCCATACCACCTTGAAAATTGGGCAATGCCACTGAAGACGTGAGAATAGTAACGACGAGATGCATACGTGTTACCCCAAATTGGCGTCCAACTGTCAGTCTCCTCTTGGTCAGATTGTACCTCTTGCAATTGTTCCTGCAGTGCTTCAAGTTCGTCGAGAGCTTGCTCAGATAATGGCAACATGAATAATGTCCAAATCTTCTGCCTGCATGACTTGGAGAATTGAGATGCCATCACTTTTTGCATATGAAGCTAGTCTGGGATATTTATGTGAAAGAACACCATCCAACCAAAGATCATCCCAGAAGCAAACTGAGGCACCATTTTCTAGGTCACAGGTGGCTATCCCTCTGAAAAGCACGTTGAGCCGGAGGACATCCTTCCACCAGAATGACCCCATCTCTCTTGTTGCATGAGGTACCCGATTAGTGTAGTATTTGCTCCAGATTAGACGTACCCATGGGACATCAGCCCTGTTATAGAACTTACTCAAGTGTTTCATAAGCATAGCATCATTTTGCAGGCGAAGATTTATAATCCCTAGTCCTCCTTTGTCCTTGGACATCATGACAGTTGGCCAAGCAACAAGGTTACCACCTTTCTTCTTCTCAGAATTTCCTCAGGACTGTCTTTCTTGGGCACCAAGGTGATGAAGGAGGTATTGATACACTCCAAGTTAGCTTGGCCCTGATAGAAAGCCGAGCAAAGTGCATAGAAATCCCCTTTCAGAAACTGCCAACATTTCTTTATGAACAGCCCGTTGAAACCATCCTGGCCAGGGGCCTTGTCTGACCGCATGCGTTTGATAATAGAGTCAATCTCATCTGTTTGAAAAAGAGCAGCAAGACTATCCCGGCCATCCACTGGGGAGATCAAACTTGACAGGTCAAAAAACATGGTGGGCGATGAAGACATACCCATTCGGTGTCTGAAGGCTGACCATAAAAGGCCAGCTTTGCCATCATGGTCTTGGATCCATACCCCTTGATCATTTTTCAATTGTGAAATAGCATTCGTTCTGTATGAAATTGTAGCCATCCCATGGAAAAACTTAGTGCATTTATCCCCAAATTTGATTCTGTTAATAGTGTATCTATTTCGCCAATAAATGTTCTTGTAGTGGAGCCATAGCTGAAGTTGCCTTTTGACAGCTATCCTGAGATTGGCTTCTGGGTTGTAGAGCCCTCGCTGATCTTCTAAAGAATCTAGGAAACTGATGACACTGTTGCAATTGTTAATGAGGAGGCGAAGATTGGACAGGTGCTTACTCCAGTTCTTGAGCCTCGATCTTAACATTTTGAATTTGACAGAGATGGTACAAGCTGCATCTGTCAATGAAGGTGTAGAACTCCAGCAATCCTGAACTGTATCCTTGAAATCACTTCTTTCTGCCCAGAATTCTCAAAACGAAAGATGTTTGCCTTTGGAATTCTGGTACTAATCACTATCTGGCAAGGAAGATGGTCTGAGGTGATCTTTGCTAGTGGCAGCACATCTGTGTTTGGGTACTTAATTATCCAGTTGGGCGATGTAAAAAACCAATCTAACTGTTCAAGTAATGGCCTCTGACTGCATGTTTCTCCACGTATAAGCTCTCCCCTTCAGAGGTAACTCAACAAGTCCTAGGTGGACAATTGCATCATTGAAAATGAAAGTGTCACCTAGATTCCCTCCAGCCCTATTGTGGTTTCTTAGTGACCGATAGAAATTAAAATCTTCCAAGAAAATCCAATTCTCATCATCCTCAACATCGTGACCTCTAAACCAACTGATGAAATCAGAGCGAGCCGGTTCATCACAAGGACCATAGACCGTAGTTAATTTCTAGGTTTCATTGTTATGCACTGAGCAAAAACTCAACGTGATGCCAAACTGTTGCTTATCCAGAACAACTCCCATGAAGATAGCACTGTTCCAGATAACAAGAATACCGCCCGACGCACCAATAGAGGGGATAAAATCAAACTTATCAAAACGCCTTGGTGCAAACTTTCAAATATATGAGATATCAAAATGTTCACGCTTTGTTTCCTATAGGCATACTACAGAACAAGAACTTTCTTCAATTTAATCTCGAACTGCATCCTATTTCTCTGAGGCATTGATCCCACGAATATTCCAACAGAGTATATGCCAATTACGTGAATTCATCGATGAGCAAATAAGAGGATGCGATAGCTGATGTCACTAGGATCACCAGATGAAAGTTACACGAACCAACCAGATTGGCAATACAGGTAGTGGCATTCATCAGATGGGTATTAAAGGATAAAGCACTTGATGACATAGAGTTTAAACGTAACACCAGAAAGATAGGGTGCCCACACATGACAAGGTTCAGATACAAAGCAAAGTTCACATGACATGACACAAAGGGAGATAGTAAACTGATGACAGGATAACTGGTGGGAGCGAAGCAAAAGATGAGTAGCCTCTTCGGTGCTGCTTGGTTGGGTCTACTCTGTGTGACTGTCATTGGGCACATGTGGAGTTGGCGCTTGCAGCAGCGCGTCTTTAGTGAGATTGCTAGGATCAACACCGCACTTGATTCCCCAGCCTTGTAGAACAGGGATGGAGATTGGGCCAGTTTGTCCTGTTTCTTCATCAATTTGGACTAGCCAGTTCTTGCATCTCTTTGATGGCTCCTTTTCAATCATGACCGGCAGTATCCTTCCTTACCAGCACTGAGTCTTGAACTGTGACGCACGCTTCTCTGAGCCAGTGGCGTACGAGCATCGCTATTTGATACCACTGCAGGCAGTGACATGTTCTTTCTCTTCTATCTGGTTGGGCTGTCATTCTGGCCCCTAGTCATAGGTGGGCTGTGCCTAAACTTGTCAACTTGAATTTCAAATTCTGTTGGGCTAGATTGTGTGCTGCACACAACACCATCCTCCCCAAGAATCAAAGGTGGCGATGAAGTCTGCACTGGAACACTACGCCTAGCTGTAATAACATCAGGCCAGAGTTGGAGAGCTAGAGCATCAAGTACTGGGCGCCATGGCACAATTTCAAGGCCTGTTGAGGGTGCAGTCTGAGTGTCTGTATTCTGTTGGATCACCAGATCTCTGTCAATGAGAATGGGCTGAATGGCAATGGTGGATAGCTTGGCTGCTTCCTAGCAAATTCCTCCGATGAAATATGCTGATGGTGGCACAGTGATTCTGGACAACTATGAAACGTGCTCTATCTTCATTGGGGATGGATGAGGCATCACTAGATGAGGAGCTGTCATCAGATTGCCCAAGCTGAATGACATCATTGATGGCAATGTCAGGCCCATCACCCCAAAGAAATTTCATTGAGGAACCTGATAAGTCAAGATCGAGCAGGTCTTGGGGGATAGTTGGATGCTGAGGGATCTGGTTGGCCTGTTGATTGCCTTGAGCATTGCCCCCCACAAATATCGCAGGGTTTCACTATGGCCATGGTTCCTCACCCTCAGGTTCTGCATCTGCTTCCATGTCATCTTCAGCATCATCAATCTCCATGTCATCGTTGCCTGCATTTCCTGCTTGACCCTGTTGATGCTGATTTTGCTGTGCCTGCTGTTGAGGGTTAGGATGAGGATTTGCACCGAAGAAACCCAGGTTGGCTGCTGCAGCTTGGTGTTCATGTTGCTAGTTTGGCTCTTGTGGATTGTGCCCCAAAACCACAGGAGCATGCTCAGGATGAGGTTCACCATCAAAAGGATCCTCATCTGCTGGGAAAGCATCTGGAAAGTTGCCGTTAAGAATGTAAACAGGCACTGACCACGAACGGCCCGTTCCTCCTAACATCGTACTACGGGAGACAATCAAACTTCTAGGCACTCTGTCAGGGCTTAGTATGAGTGCTTGCACAAGAATTCTGGATTTATTGTCATCTCTATACCACTCTAGCAGACGGCCATATGGTGCAACAGCAGCTCTGATATATAGATCCTTTTGGAAATCCAGGGGGAATGCAAGAAACATCAACCAGCAGACCCGAATGTATGCACAAGATCTATGATTAATTCCTTCATCATGCTTAACTACTGTGACAATATGATTCTGGCCCAATTGGAAAAAAGACTCTCGGACTAACTTATCACGCTGAACAGCACTACGGAGCTTGATCAAACCGAGTCCCAGAGGGGAGAGATGAGCAGCATCAATACTAACCCTCTATTCATGTTCCAGATGGTCGCAGACGAGGTTGAGCGTCGGGCGTAGCTGCTTTGCATGAGGTGGTATTGGAGCGATCGACACGATAGCATAGTCCTCGTGCCTCCCTGGTTGGTTCTCCACCTAGGGCCATCCTCCCTCTAGCCGGACGGTTCCACCCATGGTTAACCGTGAGACCAGCGACAAGGAAGGGTTGAGGTGAGCGTCTACGTTGTACTGTGTAATTCTCAAAAAAAAAGTTTACATTTGGTTTGATCAAGCTAAAACCACTTATTTGATCCATAAATCTAACTAGTTGATTGTTGTTAGGTTAGTTACAGTGGCGGAGCTCTCGGTAGGGCTAGGTGTGGCAGCTGCCCTACCTGAAATCTGCCATGCTCTTCATTATCCTGACTGGTTTACATGTCATCTCTCAATTTGTCCTCCGCCACTTAGTTACATGAATGTATGTCTAGTTCCATAAATCTAATCTATTTGGTACGACTCTCGCATAGGCTTCGACGCTGGGTGGACGAAACCGCACCAGACGTCCTCACGCGGAGGAGCGCTCCTAGCCGCCAAATCATGATGCGAGAGTCATTTCCTCGTACGGACACGAAGCCGCGAGGGCTCCGGCTCCGGCAATAGAACGGACGGGGAGGAACCATCCCAAATGCACCCTTACTCTATCAGATATTGAGCTCAATCAAAGTCGTGGATTTTAATCCACGTCACTTTCACTGACAAAAAGAATAATATTTCTAGAAAATTAACTTAGCTTAATCTTATTTCTTGTTTTTGGGCGCCTGTTAAAATTTGAGCATCATTCATCCCACCTTATTGTCTATCTTAATGTGAATCAAAATGTATCATTGTTTTACAATATTAATTAACATGAACATGTTCTTCACCTTGGTCGTGGTTGAAATAAATTGATGGTTAGCAGGATTTTGAGACCTAGTATGGAAGATTACCATGCTGATTTCAAAGATATAACTACAAGTTATTATATTTATATTTAGTAAAATTCCGTTATCAAAACCCGCGATCTGACAAAGATGCATAAGCTCTCGGTGGGGCACACATTGGAGCAAATTGGGAGACTTGTCACGTGTTTCATACCCTGGTCTGACAAAGGTGAAGGCAAGAGAAGAAATTAATCTTTCTAACAAAGACTAGTGGCCTCCGACTGATTAAAGACTCAAAATATCAAAAAGGTTTTCAGACAAACTCATACTCGATGACGTACTAAGCACTAAACCTATGAGAAGACAACCACCCATTCTTTACGAAGATCTCCATTGCCACGGTCTCAAGCGAACGACAAGCTTCCTTCATTATTGTTTTGTTGTGCTGCTTAACGTCTTGTTTCGATGTACGCATATCCGCTTCAATTTATAGGTGCTAGAGTGGATTAGAGTGGAATTTAATTTAATTTCGACCCTAATTAATCCACTCTAACTAGGGATGGCAGTGGGGTAGTTTTGGTTCGGAGCTCCGCAGATTTCAGGTCTAGCGGGCTCGGCTTCGGGTTTAATTGTTTCACATAGTTTTCAGGGTTGGGGACACAAAACTTATCGGTTTTGGTTTCGGGTTTCGGTTTCCACCAGCGGATATCCAATGGAGGTCCGAAATAAACAATTTTGAATAAAAACTCATGTGTTTTATTAATATAAATTATTTATGTATGCTATTTATTTTGTTCTAAGTTGGGTCATGAAATTATGTGTTGTTTATTGCCTCTTGTTTATACATGTGAATATGTAATATATATCATGCATTTGTTGCCAAAAATTCGTTATTGTTTTTTGTATTGTCATATAGTGGTGGGTTTCAGGTTTTGGGGATCCAATCGGGTTTTAGGGATCCACTGGATTTGGTTTCGGGTTTGGATTATCACCTGAAATGGTGTTGAGGGCGGTTTGGGGTTTTGAGTTCGGGTTTCGGGTTCGGGTCCGCGAGACTCCACCTGCCCCGAATTCGCCACGTAGCCATCTCTAACTCTAACAAACGTAAATTGGGGTGGATATGCATATATCCAAACAAATCTTAATGGGGTGTGTGCAGTGTGAGTTGGTGCATGAGTTCAAATACTCAACTTATACTCGTTGGTTGAGGAAATCAAATAAAAATTGGAGCCTCCATTGCTTCATTGGATAAAATATATAATATATAGGAATAGGATCACTCATGGTGGCACATGGTGAAAGAACATGCACACCTAATAACAGGAACATGCACACCTATGAATACCTCCAAAAGGTCAGGCCAACAAATATTGCGATTTATACAGCCACCATAGATGGTGCCTCGCTACTGATAAGAACATTGGTTACCATTGAAAGATTAAGCAGCCAAAAATGTAGACACCCATGCCAAGTCAAAGCACAAACCCGGGTGAGCAGGTTTTGCAAAGTCGACACTCATATGCATGTGTCTAGGTCACGAAACATAAAATTTTTCTACCTAATATCAAACGGAAGACATAGTTGGCCAAACATAGAGAATTGTGCACATCAAAATTGTACATAGTAAGCACTATCTTTGGTAGAATGTCTATATTTTAGAACAATTATCTAGCCATCCTTAAGGTGCAAACAAATGCTATATTGAGTGCTTGGTTAGTATACAATTGAAAGAGCAAATCAGAACTAAAACTGTAAGTACACCACCAATATGTGGTTGGTTCTCTTTATACTCAAGAACTTATTAAATCTTCAAGTTCAAAGTAGCAAAGCAATGTACTTGCATTCTCTAGAGCTCACAATGAGACATAATTGTAACCATTAAACAAGTATAAGCAAGTGCATAATTCAAGATCTGAACATTTCCCATCGAAAGAAAATTACATCATTATTAAAGTCTCATAAATCACTACCTTTATAGAAGGATAAGAAGTTAGAAACAAACAATATTCGTCTTATTCATTTTCTTCTATTGCACACATTCAATCACCAGATTTACCATCACAAATTCCATCTTGCAATCCTGGCACGACAATTGGTGGAAGAGTAGCCATGCTATTGTGGTATCCAAAGACACACCTCATGACAAACGCATTGCCCAACTCCTTCCCAGTATTTTCCACCTTGCCTGTGTCCATGTCATAACGTAATACCTTGTCTGATGTCTTCCATTTTTGCCTCACCCCAATATCAACCCACCTCCCACTCTCTAGACCAAGTGGGCGCACAAACCACCTCTCATAAAACTTGTTTTGCCACCCATTATGTAGCTTCATTGAATGACAAAATTGGAACTCGTCGCAACTCATCTCCATAATGCTCTTCCATCCTTTCGTATGCTTGAGCTCCCAATGGTAATCTATTCTCACAAGCTGGTATATGGCCAAACCATCCTTGTTAATGGTTGTACACATGAGCAAACCATTGCAAGAGACATCAATGCTATGGCGTTCCTCATCAACATTGAACCCTTGCATCTTCCAAGGCATCTTGATGCTCCCAACTTCATTTCTTCCAACATCAAACCAGAGTAGATCCTCTTGATAGTCCCAATATAGAACACCACTTGCATATACCACCTTTTGGCATATTACTTCTTTCATGTTTGCAGTAATCATAGTACTTAACGTGACCCATCAACCCGTATCCAAGGAAAAAGAGATAAAATTGACCTCAACTAAAGTATCACTTATGGTAGATAATGGAAATGCCTTGACAATCATGAACTTGTGTGTTTTCCCTTAAGGGTCATCTAATGGATCAAACACTAGACCAACGGCACTAGTTATGTCAAGATGATTAGCTGCACCAGGGATTGTATGGGATTGTTGTGTTGCTGGATTTGCTAAAAGGATGGTAGGTGGTGGAGTGAGAGGGCCACTATAGTATGGTTTGTAGCGGATGCAGAGAAGGCCATTTGTTGAGGCAAGGATATAAAAACGACCATTATCCAAGCGGCAACCAAGGAAATCAAGCTCTGATGAGGGAACACCAACTATAGAAGGTGTCGATGATAGAACATCAAGGGAGTATATATATGATTCCTTATTAGGACCAATGTGGATTAGTGCTGGGCATGATGGGCAAAGCGTTGCCTGTTTTGCAGCAAACTTGGTACCTGTGAGACGTCTGCAACAATCCTTGGATACGATCTTCAAGCATGTGACCAACTTGAAAGGAAGACATGAAAAGATGTTGCAACATATGACATCTTCTGGTATGTCTTGGTTGATCATCAGACCTGATGTTCTAGGAGACATATTGAGAAGAAGAAAATTAGTTTACTTCTTTACAGATGCAAAGGAAAATAGTCCTACAAACATCATTACAGGAGAGAAGTTTATTCTACCTAGATGCAAATAGGCAAAGGGGACAAAATATATTAAATAAATAAACAACAAAAATAAAAGGAAATATCCCCCTTAATCACCTCTATGTAGTCATATTGGGGAAATGTAAGCAAGCAAATGTGTATTAAATTATTTTTTTAGCCACCAAACATGATAATGAGCTTTTGACTTGGAATTCTATATTTTTGTCCTTCTAAACTCCCCACCATGATAGCAAAATTAGTCCCATATTTCTTTTGTGGTCTATCTTGCTTCAAGATCTCCACTAATCAATAATCCAATCTTTTAGTGAATAATATTATGCTAGACCTTTTGGTAGATTGATTTGCAAGAGACCTAGGAACTTCATCTACACCTATCATGTATTGATGCAATATCAAACCAATTGTGGTGTTGTTTCTTGTTAATTTGAGCATACACAATAGATTGGATTGCATGGATAGTTCTTGGAGGCCATGCCTTCTATTGTGGGCACTTTGTTCTATTCTATCAATGAATGAAAAATGCATTTAGGTTTGATCTTGGCACTCCTAACCTTTATTTAGAGATTTTCATTGACCATGCCTTTGAATTGTAAATCATATGCATTTAGCTTCAATGGATGAGTTTCGAGTGGCTTGGTTTGTTGAATTGATTGGGGCCGAAGAGCCGCATCTTGAATTTCTCTAGGAAACAAACACTACTATAGAGATGATTTTTGCCAACACTATTTTTGCTACTAGTTTATTAAAATAACAAGTGATAATATGTCACTATTGGTTCAGAATAAAACCGGCAGTGAAAATAAAATGATTTTCATTGATAGTCAAAATCACGCCTAGAGCAAATTGTGTGTTCATTTCTCCCTTCCACAGTCCCACCATGTGTGTGTTTCTCTAGGTGGTTGATAGGGGCCTGTTCGTCTACAAGTTGCCCCACAAATGGCCAGTGCAGAGCACATGGATCCTCAGTCCCACTGCCTCCTCTCTATCATGTTGTGTTCTCCATCGCTCTCTGTCCTCTTTGCCTATGGCATAGAAATGCATCTCTCTCCGTCCACGTGACTCAATGGTGGTGGCTGATCGACTCATTAGAACACGTAATAGCAGTTGGCCAACATGGTAGACCCCGATAGCAGTAGCCCTACGTGTCCTCTTGGAGTGGCCCAGCAACCACGGCACGGTGGTGCCTCATCATGACATCCCCCCTTCTGTAAGGCAATAGGTGGGGGTGGTTGTGACTTGGCACTGGGTGGCGGTGGCGTAGACATAGTCGACAACACACCAGGTAGCACAGCGGGAGTGGCATTTACAAGTGGTCTTGTTTCTTTTTTTTTTAATTGACTTTCATCAACGGTTTCCATCTAGCAGTGATGAAGATGATTAACTCTATGCATTCTGGAGAGCCTCTTTGATCTCCATCTTTGGTTAGCGAGAAATCTAGAATAGAGGATGTCTATATTTGGAGATCGTGAAGTTGGTTGATCGTTGTTTCAAGTGCTCGGTTAGTCCCCCCTCCTCCAAGGACTCCGGTTTGGTCGCGAGTTTTGGTTGCTCTGCCATTAAACTTAATGTGGATTTAGTGGGGCTTCTTCTCCAATCTTGCATTGGAGTCTCCTCTTTGGATTTTTAAGTTGCCCACCTATCGGGTGATGTATCGTTTCACCTACTCCTTCAAGGAAGTCAGCTTTCTCATTTACATAATTTTTTCTTGCAAGGAGTTCTCAGTTTTCTTTTTCCTTTGGTGCAATGGAGGTCTAGATTGGATCAAGGAAATTGATAATTGGCAATCTTAGACAGAGACAGAGTGGACGCTAATTGGTCCAAAGGGGAAACACTTTTGTAGAAGTTGTTCATTCCCTTGTAGATAGATCCTCAATGTTTAAACGCCTTTGTTTCTAAAAAACTATCAAGAAAACTTCTCCTAGTGCCTATTATAATTAAGGATCATTGATCTTCTCAGTTCTATGATTTCGGCAATGCTAGGTGTCCATGGCAAATGCAAGATCAGCGCTGCCTTCCTAGGAGCTTTCAGCACCCCCACTTTTTCAAATTCAAATGCAGCTTTGAAAAGCCTAGCAAGCCCTCTTGCTCTAGATGTTTGGCCCATGATAACTTTTAGTAGGATTGCAAAATATGTTAAGACGATGCAAATACTGCTTTCAACTACAGACATTTGTCTAGACATTGCCTCTCCTAGCCTATTACAAGCATAGTTATCGGCCTACCCTTCCTTTGGAAGCTGAACGGGCAGCCCCTCGCCTAGCTAAAACTACCTCCCCATCCTCTAGGGTGTCCCCTGCCTACACTGTCATGCCCCCTCCAGCAGAATAAATAGAGAAAACTCCATCTTTGAATATGCTGATGGCAAATTTTGTCATGGACCCCGTCCCCACCTCCCTCTCATTTTTACCCTGGAGGCCCCCCCCCCCACACTTCACTCTCTTCTGCGCCACAAAGTCTTCATCACTAGCCATTACACCTTAAGCAACGAAGAGTTGGCAATCATCAAGCTCGAGCCCTTGGTGCACATGGATGACTTTAAGTGCATGGTGAATGAACTTCAGAAGTTCTTCAGAGAAGTACACCAGATGCGTGTGACTACGATCCAACCTTGTCCATTGTGTGATGTTTTTGTTTGGTTTAGCAACCCTTTGGAATGAGAAAATGAAGTTTCTTGCCCCTGTGTTCTCCTTTGGCAACTATAGTCTTTCAATTTACTTGCACGATAAGGCGATCAATGCAAGGTCTTTTGATCTGGACCATGAAGCCTAGGTGATGTTGCTTGGTTTCCTAGAAGATCTTTGCAATGTCGCCATGATAACAAATGGGGGTTTCCATTTTTGGCATCCTTGTCCACTACCATGATTCCAATAACTTGGCAACGGTTGTGGCAAAAGTGTACCTCAGTGATGATGGGAGGGTTCCTATTCCATGAAGGTGAATGCTGGGTTACCCCCTGTTGACGGTAATTTCACCATGTTTTTACACCACCAAAACCGTCAACAAAACACTTTTTCTAGAAGCTAACAAGCAAGGACATAGTGACTTAGGTGCAAATAACTTGGTTCCACATGCATATGTCATTATTTGCTTGTAGGCACATAATCTAGGAGCTTTGGGTGGCTGAAGGCCCCACTTAGAGATCGAGCGACCTTACCTTGGGCTCACTAGCCCCCTCTCAAGCCTCCCATGATCCTCCCATGTACTCCAAAGGCAATCTCCACCCTTGGATCATAAGCTCCTCTTCTCTCATTGGCTAAGGAGATGAGCACATGAATTCATGGGCCCACAAGAGTACAAATCGACGTCCACAAGTGGCCCCACCAGTGCAAACCCAATCAAGATGAAGTGTGGGACCTATATGTGACCCACATGTCATATATAAGGGTCATATATAGGTCGGCCGACCTATATATTACCACTACCAAAGCTTTCACTCACTCCATGACATGTGGGACTCCTTCTAGAAGGAAGATGGAGGAACCACATGTCATAGGAGGGTCGACCGACCTCCCTATGGTGGCTATCCAAGCTCAGCTTTATTCCACCGCCTCTATGCATGCCTCCATGCAAGGGCCTTGATCTCCATCGTCCAAATCAAGTTAGTTTGATCCAAGGATGGAGAAGGGATGTCACGCGGATCGCTGACGTGGCGCCAGAGTATCCCTACTCCACCTCTACCTATAAATACCCTCCTACACCCTCACTCTCAAGTCATGACACATTGGAGTGAACCACTCTTCAGTAGCTTTAGTGAAGTTCTATTGCAGTGCTATGAGATTAGGGAGAGAGTGAGGGAGTGTGGAGAAGAGTTAGGCCTATCTAGTGTCTTCTCCAAGCTGTACCTCGGTGGATGCAATCTTCTTGTAAGTGATACATCCACATTCTTTATAGTATTTGATATTCTATCTCTGCTAGTAGTTATATAGCCTTCTTACCTGTACACCACTTTACTTTAGTAGAGTGCTCTAACCTCTCGAGAAGGTTAGAGTAGTGACTGTAGTGTCGACATGGTGTCTAGACTATATCTTGCCTATGTAGACCGCTTGTTCCATGGATAGTTAGTGGTAGCTATAGCAGGTGGTGACAGCCCTATCTAGCATTTGTAGTCCACCACATGTGTAAGACAAGTTCTTAAAAGGTATGGTCTCAATGCAACATGGTAGCCGCTTTGGATAGAGTTTCATTCCCTATTGTCTCGCCTATAGCCTCTTGTAAGCAGGTGGGTGACTAACCCTTTATAATTACTATCTTTACCAAATATCATTGCTATCTAGATCCTCTCTA